TATATATATACTTGAGCGGACGTGTATGGCCTCATAACCAATCATCCATACACTCAGCAACACGTCCAAAGATACACACGCTGCCACATCATTTCAAGCCTGCAGAACCGCAGTCTTCGAACTATTAAGATATGCACCCCCGCACTTATAGTGCACTTTTTCCAGCCGATGTATTACCACACGCGATATCCACAGCCACAGAAGTGTATTTATCAATACCAATCTACACCACATGACACCCACTCACCTGGGCTGGCTGATGCTATCCAACACGGGGGGGGGAGAAGACCTTGAGAATCTTGAACACACACTCCAGCACTCCGTGTGCGCGTACCATGTCCTGGTAGCCGTGGCAGGCGTTGCGTGTCTTGTACTCGTGCGGCGGCAGCGGATGACCACTCTTGTGCGGTGGTTTGAAGTAGTCTGTGCAAGACATGCACAGGCGTATGCGTCAGGGGGGAGAGTGAGTGGGTGAGTGGGTGAGTGGTTAAGTATTTAAGTAGGTAAGCGGTTAAGTATTTAAGTGGGTGAGTGGTTAAGTATTTAAATAGGTAAGTGGCTAAGTATTTAAATGGGTGAGTGGTTAAGTATTTAAGTAGGTAAGTGGTTAAGTATTTAAGTGGGTGAGTGGTTAAGTATTTAAGTAGGTAAGAGGTTAAGTAGTTAAGTGTGTGAGTGGTGTAGTGGTGGCGTGTGTTGGTGAGAGGTGTGTATATTGCGGCCATCTGAGTGTCAAGTGGTGATGACTGTAGCCATGCGTGTGGGTTAGTAGTTACTTAAGTATATGGCAGCCAATCCCGTTGGACTGAGTGCTATTTGGTGGGGGGTGGTTGCAAATACAATTCAATGGTTGGTAGTTGCGATTACTTGGTTGCTTGGTCAGCTGTTACCGTAAAGGCAGTATCTGTTTGGTTCCGTTGTGTGGGGGTGGGTGTATAGAGCCCAGCGGTTGCTGTATTGAGGTGTGTGCATATCTGCTTGATGCACTAGTCACAGACACATCTGTGCATGTGTACTTTCGGTGTGTGTGTCTGTCTCACAAACCTCTGTCGTAGCGTGTACATATATTTTGTGTGTGTGTACGACTTGAGTGTTTGGTGTGTGTAGTGTGTGCATGGCTGTTGTGTGTGTGTATATGGCTTGAGTGCGTTAAGTGTGTGTAGTGTGTGTATAATCGGTGTATGTGTGTGTATGGCTTGAGTGTTTGGTGTGTGTGTGTGCGTGTTCCTACCTACCTGGTTGGTTGGTAATCTTGTACTCCGATGACTTCAGATTATCTACCTCTGCCTTGAAGTGCGCTGTAGCGTCGTTCTCAGCCCTCAGACTGTGGCCTGTGTCTGGTTCTGTGGGATGGGGCCCACACAGTAAAGGTTCAGGGCAAGGGAAGTAAGCTACAACAGATGCACAATACAACCACATGGAGACTGTGCTGCGGTTGGTAGCGCTTGACTCAGAGATATCTACACCACTGCGCATGGGATTATATGACCACATGTACTATGTTTGTGTTGGTATGTTCAGGTGTGAGTATGGGATTATATAACCACATGTACTGTGTTTGTATTGGTATGTTCAGGTGTGAGTATGGGATTATATAACCACATGTCCTATGTTTGTATTGGTATGTTCATGTATGAGTTTAAACGTATCCTTGTAGGTCCACATATACTATGTTTGTATTGGTATGTTCAGGTGTGAGTATGAACGGATTCTTGTAGGTGCATTAGCATGCATGTAGTGTATTGGAAACCGTTATAGGACAGACTGACTATGTGTGTACATGCCGTTAGAACACAGAATACCCGTTAACAATACCAAAATACGGATACGCAATGATACGGAAGAGCAGAAAACGTTATCTATTGGCGTTCTAATAGTGATACGATGCGAGTGGGCACCAGAAAGTACAATACAAACCACAGGTGTTGAAACATACATTAGATACAGACACCTATACAGACAAATATAGACAATACAAACTCTATATACACACATCTACAGAGACGAATAAGTACATTTACACACATCTACAGAGACGAATAAGTACATATACACAATACAAACTACATATACATCTACAGCGATGAATAAGTACATATACACAATTCAAACTACATATACACATCTACAGAGACATACAAGATATGAACATCTGCTTACCTTCATCAGTAACGAGCACCTCGGTCCTCAGACATGCACACACAACCTCCAACACATGCAGCAATGCAGACACGCTGCCATGCTTAAACAGCTTAACATCGCACGAAACCAGCACTTGTAGCAACTCTTCCAATTCACGTCTGTCAAGGCATGGTTGTGATTGAAAGAATGTACGAAATGAGCCACTGACTGTTGTATACTATATATATATATATATGTATGTATGCAAGTATGTATGTATGTATGTATGTATGTATGTATGTATGTATGTATGTATGTATGTATGTATGTATGTATGTATGTATGTATGTATGTATGTATG